TCCTGGTCTGGGCGGACGGAGGGGGACGGGGCACGTACCTAGGCCTGAGAGACGGGACGCTTCTGCGCGGAGACCTGCTACGGCGGCGTGCGCTCTCTTGTTCATCTCCTGCAGTGCTGCGTCGTCGATCGGCGCGGACACGGAGGACTGGTGGCCGCGGGAGCTGGTGGACCACGCCCTACCGCCATAGCTGGAGGAGTCGGAGAGCGGAGAGCAGGCTGAGGGCGAGACATCGCCCATGCCTTGGACGGGAGGAAGGATGTTGTACTTGTCCTCTGCGGAGGAGGCTGTGGAAGGACGCCTAGAGGGCTTGCGGGGTGGAGGCTTGGGGGGATGCCTCGGGATGTGGGGAAGGGGCGAGGGTAGGAGAACGGCGTGAGGATTTGCGTCGGCGAGAGAGCGAGAGAGGCCGTCGGGGTGCAGGGCGGGGATTTGGGGCAGAATCAGGTCAGATCGGAGGCCGTTGGCGTGGAGCCGACCGTCCGTGTCGTGCATGGGGTCGGGGAGGAGCAGGAGACGGTAGGAGGAGGAGAGCTTGGGCGGCGACGATCACTGGGACGAGGATGGCATGAGGGAGGGCGTAAGGAGCAGCGTGAGGAGGAGCAGGGGCAGCTGGCCTGGGCTTTGGCAGACCAGTGGAGTACGTCGCTCCCGAGAGTGCAGAGACGCGCCGGCTGAGGAGTTCTTGCTCTGCACTCGCCTATCGCTTCAGCACAGGGCGTCCGATAGACGCCCACCCCATGTGAGCGCCCGGTGGCTGTTGCAGACGTCATCGCGCATTCCGTGCAGGCCAAGCGCTGCTCCCATCCATCGTCTGTGTCTGTCCAGCGTGCCTACGCGACCACATCGCCACGACTGCGCACCCTCGCTCGCTGCGTCATCGCTCACAGGCACGCCCTCTCGCTCACGCTGCGTCTCGCTCAGTCGCTGCATCCGCTGGTCTTGCGTCGTCCCGTTCTGCTTTCAGCGCTCGCGTCCTCGCTCGCTCTCCGCCCTCTTGCCGCTCTCCGTCCGCCTGTCTTCCCCTGCCCGCACCCCTTGCCCTCTGTCCGCCCGCCCGTCCGCTCCCGCACGCCGCCAGCCTCGCCCTTCAGCTTCATGCTTCGCGCTGTTCACACTCATCATCTAGCCTCTCGCGTCCTCCATCATGCGTCTCTGAGTACGTCCTGACAGCACCAATATCCATGTATTTCGACCTCGCACGCCCCCTTCATAGCCGCCCCATCCCCGTCTTCTACCATTCGTTAGAGGCAGTCGATGCGGTGTCTCACTTATTTTTCCAGCTTCTCCCGATTCGATGCTCACTCGCGGCATCCGTTATATACCCTCATCTCGATCATGCCAACCGACAACGCTCCGTGAGGCTACGTCCGGCACGCGCGCTGTCTGTATGGACGGATACAAGGTGGTATTGCACTCCCACCGCTGCGTTTACAGCCTAGTACGTCGCAAACTCCGCTCTCAGTGTCCGTTTTATAGGTCTGCCGCCCATGATAACTTCAATATCTGCCCGGCGACTGTGGGGGCACACTACATCCATAGACACAATCGAAAGACCGATCGTGCACGTACCTCCACGCGAGAGCATTCGCCGCGCGGTGCAAAATTGGACGAGGAGGGCGACCGATACAACGTGTCGGCCAGCGCCGGCCAGATGTCTTCGCACCGCCCGCGCCCCGCAACGCCCACTCGCCCAATGCTCAGGGGAGCGTCTGCACACCCGAGGCAACGACGTCAGTGATCGCACAAAGTGGCCGCGGACGTCCTCCACCCGCCAGGCCTGTGCATCGACGGAGACCGCCGGTGACCGGCTATCCTCCGCACAAGTCCCTTGCGCTCGTTGTCGCTGCCCACGCGGTGCATAACGACGTGTGACACACGTCTCTCGCTTCAGGCAAGTTCTCATCGCATCCGGACACGAACTCCGCTGATAGGGACGATTTTACAGGTGATGTGGCGCAAGAAACTCGTATATTTTCCGACAGAAGGACGATGTACCGCTAATACAACAGTCTACAAGCACATACAACATCACCTGACCCCCTCCCACGTACCGCGCCGCGCTACGACGTCGCGAACGGCCTCACCGGCCGTCGATCCGCCGGTTCCGGCCACACCGCCCACCGATGATACCGCCTATCCGCATCGTCCCTGGCCCGTAGAACGTCGCGGACACGGCCCCAGGCGTGCGCGTACCTAGGAATATACTATGTGAGCATCGGTTCGATCAGAAAAGGACTCATCTTCGCGTTTTCTCGTAGAAACATGCGGCAAACAGCGCGCCGCGGGTCCCCTTCGCGTCAGCTGGGACGCCGCCTGGCGCAAACGTTGCGGGCCACTCCCCAGGTGTCCTACGTCGCACGCTGGGGCGTCGGGACGCGGAGAGAGCCGGCCAGCGTCGATGCTCGGGATCAGACGGCCCAACGAACAACGGCAGCACCTACTCAACAAGGTCAGCAACCATTCCCGCACGGCATAACGGACAGAATGCTCACGTACCTGTCACAGTCACCGCAGCAGCGGCTGCGTCAACACAGGGCACGATGCACGACAAGACTCGGAGGCGAGAGGAGGCGGGCGAGGCAGGGCAGACGGGGCACAACGATGCGAGACGACGCACCGTGCAGCACACCTTTTATGTGGCCCACGCGCGCGCACGGACCACCAGCGGGATGCGTCTCCTGGCAGTGGAACGCCCCGCCACGCCCACATCCCCTCGGCTGTCTGAGCCTCGGCTCGCGCGACGTGCGCACGCCCCCTCGCGACGCGGTGCAGGCGCCTCCATCTTCCCGCGCGGCGCGCGGCACCCACATCTCCGCCGCGTCTCGCAGCGGCGGACGACCCTGCACCTCGCGCCAGATCTCTCCCGAGGATCGACGCGGCGGCGCTGCGCCGCTGGGGCTCCCTCCCGCGGACGCCCCGCTCATGGCGCCAGGCGGGCGGCGTGCACCGGGACCCCGTCCGCCGTCCACGAGGTGCGTTCGCCCTGTCCCAGCTCACCGTCCGTGGCGAGCTCGAGATCGACGGGCCCCGCCCACTCGCCGTGTCCGGGCGCGGGCGTTCTCGCTCGTGTGTGTCCTGACTCCTGCGCAAAGGGCGCGCGCGGAGGGGGTCTGGAGAGCTGGCCGCGGGCGCGAAGGATCCGCCCGCCGCGCCGTGTATCGTTCCTCTCCTCGCCGCAGTGTGGCCGAAAGAAAATATATCTCGTTCACGCCCCGGATCCTGAGCCGGCCTGCTCGCTGTTTCGTTCGCACTGGTCGACGCGGACGGGGACGCGGACGGGCAGGTGTCAGAGGCCGAGTGCGGCCGGGGGGAGCGCCCACCTGCGATCTGCGTGCACCAACGTCCCTGCGCCCTCTGCGTGCCCTGCCGACGCCCTAGTGCGGTCCATCGCATGTGCACGACGCCGTATTCACGAGCCCACGCGCCGAATCCGCACAGCCCGCCCCGTCGCCGCCCCAGTGGCCCGAGGACCGAGGACCGAGGTCGCCCACCCGCCGCACGAATATGCCCCTCCCGCCCCTACCGTGCCCCGCCAGTGCTCCAACATTCGGCAGCGCGTCCCATGCGTCATTTCCGACGCGTCCAGCACCGTTTCCGCGCGCGTCGCGACAAAAAAATATGTGCGCTCGCATGCGATTTCATTGCGTTCTCGCGGGCTTCGCCCTGAGTACCGCGCATCCCGCCGCGGCCGAGAGTCCTACCGCGCTGTCCGCTTGCACACACACCGCGGAGGCCCCGCTGCACCGTCTGGCATCGCGCCCACGGTCCTGTGGATCGTTTGAATTTCGGCCTTCCGCGCGGTCATGGTTTCCGGCTGGGGGAGCCCACTTGAAAATTCGACTGTCGCGCCCTGGCTCCTCGGGAGCCTTCCAAATGGCTGCGATGAGGACTGCAGCACTGCTACGCAAGTACACTGCGCGTTACGCACGTCTTGGATGCGAAACGCCGCTCGGGGGCTTCGGGGAATGGCAAAATCAGTGGCAGAAACACGAAACCCGAGCATCCCGCCTCGCCCGCGCTCTCAAGAGCCCCGAACGCCGCCGTACGTCCCACAGATGTATGCGGACTACTCCCCGGATGTGCACGGAGCCGCCTTCGTGTGCAAATGCGCTGCGTTCGCGTCGTACAGGTCCCCACCCCGCCGTTTCGGTGGCCCAAAATGGCCTGTGTGCCGCACGAATGCGCCTCTCCCGCCCCTCCCGCGCCCCGGAAGCACTCCAACTTTCTGTGGGGCGTCCAATGCGTCGTTTCTAACACGCCCAGCACCGTTTCCGCGCGCTCCGCGGACAAAAATATGGACGGCTCCCGGGTGATTTCATTGCATTCTCGGGGGCAACCCGCATTGGCCCGCGCATTGCGCTCGGCTCGTGCCCCCTACCGCCTCGTACGTTTGCACAAGCGCGGCTATGGCCCCTCTGCACCGTCTCCCACCGCGTCCGGGGGCCCGCAGACGGTTTGAAATTCGACCGTTTGCGCGATCGCCGGGTGCGGCTGGGGGCGCGGACACGGAAATTCGGCCGTCGCGCCCTGGCATCTCCTCAGCAATCTGCCAAACCGGTACGGTGGGCACGGTAGCACCGCGACGCACATACGATGCACGTTCTGCGTGTCGTAGATGCGAAACGCCGCTCGGGGGCGTCGGGGAATGGCAAAATCAGCGGCAGAAACACGAAAGTCGAGCATCCCGCCTCGCCCGAGCTTCCCACCGCCCTGAATGCAGCTGTGCGCCCCGCAGATGTGCGCAGACTATTCCCCGGATGTGCACGCGGCCGCGTTTGTGTGCAATCGCGCCGTGTGCGCGTCGTAGAGGCCCTCACCCCGCCATCCCGGCCGCCCAAAATGGCCCGTGTGCGGCACGAACATGCCCCTCCCGCCCCTGCAACGCCGCGACAGCGCTCCCACTCTCTGTGGGGCGTCCCATGAGTCGTTTCGGACACGCCCAGCACCGTTGCTGCGCGCTCCGCGAACAAAAAATATCGACCGCTTTCGGGCGATTTCATTGCATCTTCGAGGGCAGCCCACATTCGCCCGTGCATTGTGTTCGTCTCGCTCCTCCTGTCGCCTCGTGCGCTTGTACATGCGCGGCTATGGCCCCTCTGCACCGTCTGCCATCGCGTCCGGGGGCCTGAAGACGGTTTGAAATTCGACCTTCTGCGGGCTCTCGGTTTCCGGCTGGCGGCGCGCACTCGGAAACTCGGCCGTCGCGCGTCGGGACATCCCTCGCAGCCTCCCAAACTGCTGCGATGCGCAAGGCGGCACCACGATGCATGCGTCCTGCGCGCATTGCTTGCGACACAACACATGGGCGGCCTAGGGTGAAGGGGCATCCAGCTGCAGAAACACGGTAATCGGGCATTCCGGCCTGTCCGCGCACCCCACCGCAACGCACGCTCGCATGCGCGCCCCACAGACCCTCTGGAACCCGCTCGTGGCAGGCCAGAGCACTGTCGGACGTTTCACGGTTCGCTAGACGGACTGCTTCCTCGATCTGGGACCCTCATCTGCGGTGCCCACGTCCACTTTCGGCCGCCGTGCTGCGGCACCTCCTTGGCAGCCTCCCAAAATACGACCGCACTCCGCACTCGTTACGGTACCGCGTCGCATGCGGTCGTTGCGCTCTGGGCGCCGATGCCCTGTATGGAGACCAAGATTTGGCCAGCCTCAACGACCAGCGGCATGCTCGAGTACTGACATACAAACTCGCGTATTACAACTTCCCGCCCGTGTCTCCGGCCGCGGCGTCCTGCCACGGATACGCTGCCCTAGGGTCCAGGTATGCTCTCCCACTCGTCGCGAGGGCGTCCGCTTGTTTCACACTGACATATTCGCAGGCTCCTCCGTGTCTCGGGCGGCAGGCCAGAAGCACATCGACGCTCTCGTCTGGACCCCGCTTCGGAGCCTCTGTGGATGCAATCAATGGCGATACGGAGGACACGCTTACTGCTCGGTACGACGGACAATTCGGTCGCGTTCGGGCGCCGAGTCTGATGTGCACTAGCATATTCATGAGATCGAGCGTCCCGCGCCGCGATCCGTGCTTTCCGCCGCATCCCTTCGTGTGCAAACTTGTGTAAGCTCTGCCCGCCCTCGTATCCCGCTCGCGCTTTGACATCTAGCTTCGCAGCAATCTTTGCGAACACGCCGCCCGACTTCTAAGGGGCCACCATTGCGCGAGATGCTCAGGCGACTCGCGAGCGGCGGCACAGCGGCACAACGGCACAGCGGGCTCCGCCTTAGATACGGCGCGCACGCAGACGATCCATCTCGGTGGTGCGCGGGACTGATGAGTGGTGCAGATGTGAGGTACGCAACTAGTCTCCGTGCGCATCACTGGCATGCGGCTGCACTCAGTTCGCCGCGGCTGATTGGACTTGGAAAGATATCTCGCCAGCACCGGAGCCGCACCTGTCTTTCTCTTTGGCGAAGAGTGTCGAGGGGTTCGTACCAAGGCTCGCGCATCGAGCAGACCGGGCCGAGAGCTGGGCGCGCCCGACTACAGCTTCGGAACGTCCTCATCGCGCGGGGTGCACCAGATGGCGGGTCACCACGTCCGAACTCAGGTTGCAACAGTGGAATTATGCCCGCGAAGCAGTCTGGTATTACCGATGAGCATGGCGGACTCGCGGGGTACACGAAATAGGGACAGTGGCCCAGCCATGCATAGCTAGTTCCGTAGAAAATACATGCGCATTTTCGCTTGTGGCAATCACCTGAATGGGGGCGGGTCATTCAGCCGTGCGCGGCGACGTGAAACGCAACTCGCCCTCAGCGCGAACTTGATCGGTTGACCGCAACGGGTCAACCATTGTGCATGCGAAGCGGCACAATAGATGTGGTCTGCGCTGTTCTCAGAGCCGGTGCGCCTAGATCGGGTCCGCGCAGGTGTTGCCGCTCTCGTATGTTCCGCTTTTGCAAATGCGGTGCCGATTTCCTGGCGATGATGTTCAAGGCTGCTCGCCATTCTTCCTTAGCTAGGCCTGCCGCGCAAAGACGCTCACGTCTCGATCATGCGTGGTGCAAATTTGCTAGGCCATTTCTGAGAGGACCCTTGGATACCAGGCAACACGGGGAGATTGACGGGCGGTATTGAGCGCAGCCGGGCGCGTCGAGATTAGGCCTCTCCCGCGGACGTCTCGCGAGGCTGCGCAGCCAAATAAGCACAATACGGCAGTGAATAAACTGAAGATCTGCAAAAGTATTGAGGCCGACTCACCGAGCACGTCCCAAATATGGATTGAAGACCGGGAAGAATCTCAGCGGAAGTGTTGGAGGGTCCGCTGCGTGGTTTGCGCGTACGAGACTGGAAACAGCCGTGTATCCACGTACGGGCCGCGCGCGGGAGCAGAGATGATCGCGCCTGTGGACGCGCCGAGTTCACGCAAGGTAGAGCTACTCGTTTTCCACTGGACCGTGAGTGCATCCCCGCCTGATGTCGGCAAGAAATATATGCACACACGCACGCCAGTCCTGCGCTCTCCCCCGATCGCTTTCCAGACCCGCTCTTCCTCGTCGACCGTCCATTCACCCGTCTTTGCTCTTGCATCGTGCTCGCCGCCGCCGTGCAACACCATGGACGAAGACATCTTTGTACACGAGACGCCTGAGCTTCAGGACGAGCCGAAGCCCCGTAACAGCGAACGAGACGCTCTGCGGGGCGGTTTGCGTGTGGATATTCTGGATGCACTAGGTACGTCCATCAGCGCCCGCTTGTGAACTCCTGACCGTACGCTGACGTACCGAAGTGGATATCTCGGGTGTTCCCGACGCCCAGATGTCCTACAAGGAGGACCGATACGCCAGGCTCGTTGTGCTGCGATACGTGGCCACGCTGGTGGGATGGCCGGAGGGTGTCCCGTTTGTCAACCTGAGCAGCCGTCTGTTGGGTGGGATCGCGTCGTTGAGGGTCTTGCGACAGGCGTGGGACAAGGGTGAGCTGCGGTTCGAGCGGGCGACTCCGGAGGATCTCGAGAAGGCCGCGGCAGACCCGCTGAGCGTGCTCCCAGACGGCGGCAAGTGTCTGGAGCTTCTCGCGCAGGCAAAGTCTCGCTCCGAGTCGACCCCGCCACCGGACGTGCAGCCACTCGTGCGGGTGATGCACCCGATCGACTTGAGCGATCTCGGTACGCACGACCCCGAGGCCGACGTTGATCCCGATTCGGGGAAGCGCAAACACGAGCAACGCAGCGACGTGAAGAAGGCGCGGCGGCGGCCGGTGAAAAACCCTACGAACCGGCCTCTGCGCCGTCCGAAGCTGGGCGTGAAGAGCTCGAGGGGCGTTCTCGAGCTGGACGACGTACAGGGCCCAACGCGGGGTAGGAAACGTGCGCGGTACTCACTCGTCGACGACCCCGTGCGGCAGTTTGTTAAGGCAGGCGGGTGGGCAAATGGTGGAGTGGTTGCTTGAGGCGGGCATCAATAGCGCGGGTTCACACTGGTCGTTCTGGGCAGATATCTAGAGTAAAATGATACTAGTGCGTGTTGTGTTCGTCGATGCCGCGGTGCGCAGAGTGGCAGGCAGCGGTCGTGGTGGTCGGCTGGAAAGACGCGGAGGTGAGCGCCCGAGATCAGCGCCTGGCAATACACCGATGTCCGCTTTTGGGCAAGAAGCTTGCGGTGCTCCGCGGAGTCCGCCATCGCAATTATCTCAGGCTTGCCTGTACCCTCGCGACATCCTTGGCAGCCGGAGCCTGTGCCGCTTGGAATTGGGTGAGGCCGTCAGGCGAGCGGCGAGGTGCCGGGTTTGCACAGGCCGTCCTTCCAGAATTGGTACTCACATCTTGCCAGTGTACGGTGACCACCCCCTCGCCCAGCCTCTATCCTGCTCCCCATGCCTCGTTCCCACCGCGCGGCATGGCTCGTGCATGCACACAAATGTGCACGAGCCGGAAGACCTATTTGCAGCAACGATGAGCCATGAACTCGAGCAAGGTGAGTACTCATACCTCATTATTGTTGTGTACAGGCGGCGACTAGTAGTGTGCGGACAGTAGCTCACGCCCGTCTTGGCCACTTTCACGCAGACTGTGTGTGCGTATCGCTTCTGCCACCGGCCACGCACAGTTAAACGGCGAGCACACTCGGAATTGCCGCACCAGGGCGGCGGCAGGCGGCCGCAAGATGCGACGCTGTACGCGCATTTCCGGCGACGAGGGCTGCAACGGCGCGACGGCACAAACAAAGTCTGCGAGCCGCATCGGGACATGGCGGGCGAGCATCAGATGTCGGCGACGCATGGGGTGGTTTCTGCCTATCGAGTGTACCACTGAAGGCCGCGAGCACGTGAGTTGAGCACCCATTCGGAGCTCGCAAAAGATATACTGATGGGAGACCTTGTCAGAGCATGCGTAAACTCTCGAGCAGTGACGAAGACGTACCTATGCATGCGTGGTGCCTTCGCGCGGGGTTCCACGACGCCAATCGCCGCCAGATGCGCGAATCGCGCGGGGGAGAGCACATAAGCGTGTGGTCGAACCGTCGAGGCGAACGAAGACGTCTGGCGCGGCGAACGACAAGCTGCACGCCGGCAGGCCCGTTCGCGCGGGTCGGTTTCGCCAGAGGGGGACAGTGGCCACGTAAGGGTGGCGGTGGCGTGCATTGACGAGGGCGAAGTCGGCGACTGCTCGCTCGAGCGGACTGCTGCCCTCGAGCTCTTCACCCATCCCGCGCGCGCGGACTCGATTGCCTGCGTGAGCGCGTAACGCAATCAAAGGTGAGCAACTCACCTCGACTTATTCCGGATCTGAGCACCGAGAGGCGCACGCGGCGGACGGCGGACGTGCTAACACAGCTCCCAGCAGATGCGACCGCGTATCTATCAGTGGGAACGAAGGAGCGAGAGACGGCGCGCGCGCGAGGAGTTTACGACGGGGCGGGCGACGGGAGGCAGCAGACGGACACCTGGCGGTGGCAGGACTTGGGGCGGAATAGACGCCCATGCGGCGAAGCTGTGTGTGCGCGTGGGGAGCGAGATTGTGGTTATCTGTCTGCACGTCCGTGTTGCGAGAGCGCAAAAAGTACTATATGCGAGCCCTGACCGAGTGCGCGGCACGGAGCTGTCTCCGCGCGAGCCTCGAGTTGCTAGTTTGCGACCAGCAGAGATTCAGAGACCAGAGAGCTCCGCGAAACACACGACACCAATCGTCCACCCACTCCACTAGGAACCGACCTCAATAGAGACCCACTGCACTGATACCTACGACACAGACACCTACGACACTGACAGTCTTTCGCTTTATTTCTTTGGCGTTTTGCACCCCCGCCGCGGTCCCCGCGCAGTCTCCCAGTCCGAGTGCAGCCGCCCAGCGCGCGGCCCGTGGTACCAGTCACAGCCGCCGCCAAGTCGCAGTCGCCTACATCGCGCGCGCGATTCGCACCAAGCCAGTCGTCGCCCCGAGCAGAGCCAGCCAGACGCAGAGAGCGCACAGACACGAGCCACCGCGCAGAGCAGCCCGTCGCCGTCAGAGTTCAGCCATGCAGGCGCCCGTCGTCGCACCGTACAAGTCCTGTGTACAGCCACCGTCATTGCTCTCTCTCAACGAAATATATTTATCGCTATCTACGTCTACTACGCTGTGTACCTTCGACTTCTTCCTGCGCACCACGACCGCTGTACCGCCCTCGTACTCCACCTTGTCGGACCTCAGTCCGCATTTGCGCGCCCGCGACATCTCAATGCCCACGCTCGTCTGACCAGCGCGGTCACCGGCGAGAGCACCCTCCTGTGCTTCCTGTGCCTCACCCCCTGCGATCGAGTCGGGCGGGCTCGCTTGAATGGTGGCCAGCGACGTCCCTGGGTGCGCCGGAGCGTCCTCAACATCCTGTGTGCCTTGCCAAAAGCTGCTCAGGCGCGTCTTCCGGATCGTGTTCGGGGACAGTAGCGGGGTGTCCACACGCGGGAACAGTTCGTGCGGATGCGAGCCCGGGATGGTCGCAGTAAAGCCGCGCATGGGATCCGTGAGCTCGTGCTCGGGCGACGGCAGGGCCAGGGGGGCTACGGAAAGACGCGCAGCAGCGAGGCGCATGGCCGCCGCGGTGGCAGTGGCATCTGCAGGCGGGATATGCGGCCCCCGTGGATACTCGGAAATTGTCTGACCGTGCAGCGTGGAGGTGCGCATGTCCGCAAACGAGTTGCGTAGACGGTGCGAGATATTGAGCGGGATGTTCAGCGCCTTTGTAGGTTTCCTAGACGTCGAAGCGGAGTCGGTCGTACCGGGCCGGCGTTTCCCGGCATACTC